TTTAATAAAGATAAACATAGGTCTAAAGGTACCTTATGCTGTTGAAAAAATTCGAAGCTCGGTACATACAACTCTTAGCTGAGGTACCCGCATGTACTAACTGAATCCAGAAAGAGAACTTAGAACCAAGTGACGGTATAGTCGGACTGATCACCCGTCGAGAGTAAAGCCTAGGAACTTGCATGTGTATAAAAGAGTGAACTTGAACCCTTTAAAACATTTTTGTGTTGTTTTTTAAACAAACAAACAAAAATAAATGGCGGACGAGGTTAGAACGCAGTTTTTAATGACTCGGAGCCAACCACACAGGGGGGATACACAGAAGCAAAATCCGGAGCTTCTGCCCGCCCTGGTCAGCTTAGCCCAGACCCACGGGCGTACCGCGACCAAAATACTTTCCTGTCAGACTACCGTTTGACAGAGAGCAACAAGCAGGTGGTATAATGTTTGAGACCCTATCTCCACCATACAGGGATAAAAGCTCAAAAAATGCCATTTAGGAGTATCCCATCTACTACTCCTTGAAAAAAAAAACACATTGTTAGACATGATATTCAGGAAAAAGGAATGTTGGAAATAAATAATGTCAAATATTGAAAATCCTAAAACTGGATCAACAAACCATGTTAATAAACCCTGCTAATAGGAAGCTAAAACATGCAGGAGAAATAGCAGTAGCTCTGGCAAAGAGAATGGGTCCTAGCATGCAAGCACAGTGTGATAATATGATAAGGACTATTAAACTGTCAGAAGGCAATGTGGTGATCAGATGACCCACAAATACCGGTTGTTTTGAATGTACTTTTAAGAAAAAACCTATGTGGGAACTATCAGCAGATATCAAGCCCCAAAAATATCTTCAAAACTTATATGAGAAAGTTTTTGCGAAGCTAAAGCTCAAATACTTTACCAAAATCAACTAAACTATTTACTTTTGACCCCTGTTTGGGAATGGGATTTTCCGTTACACAACGGAAAACTCAATTCAAGCCTTAAAGAACGCTTTAAGGACAAGTCAATGAGAGTTAAATGTGGTGCTATTTTGCTCATGAAGGAGAATGCACTTTTGGAAAAAAGGTCTCCTCTTTTCTCTGCTCCCGAGGTGCTGCAGAAACACGCAGGACACGGGGTCAAAGACAGGCGTGACCTCTGGAGGGGAAGAAAATTTGAGCAGACCACGAAAGACCATTAAAAGTTTTATGGCCTCAGCACAGAGGAAGATCTGGAGATTTTAAGGAACTCTACCAGGCTACCCACCCCCACCCCAGCACAAGGGAAATAGTGTTCCTCTCACCAATGAATAGATCAACTCTTAACCAAGTCGGATCTAAAATAGACATAGCTCCAGTTGTTAAGAAAAGAGGGAGATTCAAAAAATTATCTTAACACCAGAACAATAATATCAAATATCAAAAACCAAAATAGTATGTTGAGACCCATTCTCAGAAACTAACAATGTGGAGATAAGGAACCAGGGTGATAGAACATCTGTGTTATTCATGTCCATGACTTGATCAGGAACAGAGGAAAAATTATCACCTGAAGAGAAGCATCTTGCACTTGCATTCAGATTCTATCCAGCCCTGAGGGAAATGTCTCAAGGTACCAAAATGTGCATATACACTCTTTATTTTTCAATATCTGAAGCTACTAAACAAACTGTTCAGGGAGCAAAAACAATGATGAGTAGATGAAGAAAATAAAAGATGATAATGTCTGATCCAGATGTGGGGTGCAGAGGACCTCAGGAAGTAAGCCATAAAGGGAAACATTGAAACCCTTACAGAAAACCGCTACTCCACAGATAACACTGTTTACAGATGGGAGTTTACGAAAAGGTGACCAAGCAGCCACTTGGGCCTTTATAATGAAAACTAATTCAGGTGAAGTACTTTGCAAGCAAAAGGGTGCAATACCAGGTACAGCCTGCTGAGGAAAAGGCCATTTGTTGAGGGACTTCCTTTTGCTAAAAAAGGAAAAATAGCACACATCCGTATTATTACTGATAGTGATTATTATTAAAAAGCGGGTAAAGAAGAGCTTAATAATTGGGAACAAAGGCAGTTCAAAAATGTGAAAGGTGAAACGCTGACACATGCCCATCTATTGAGGGTCTTATTGCAGAGTTAAAGGCAGGCATGTAGAATGGAATCATGTCCGTAGCCATACAGATAAGATATAATTGAACTATCAAGGTAATAGAGAAGTTTTACCTTGCTTAAAGCACGGGACGAGTTAACCACCGGACTGCCATATTCTCTAGAATATGGAAAAAGGGTGGAAGCATTCACGTACCACCTGAAGAAGCTCCTTAGGTTGTGCGTGAATTACACAGCAGTTTAGGCCATGTGGGCCTATTTCAGATGAGAACATATTGTCTCCACAATAAAATCCTCTTACCAAAACTGCGATTGCACTTACAACACACATGGTCAACATGTCTTCAATGTGTAGAGGTGGATGGGTTTAAGAAAGTTCATCCTGAGCATCTTAAAATAAT